TGGGGTGGGTGGGGGGTGGGGGTGGGGTGGGTGGGGGGCGGTGGGGTGGAGGGGAGGAAGGGAGAAGGTCGCCAATGGAATTCTGCTTTTGCCGTCAGCCGACTGCGCCTGCCCCTCCCCTCCCCCTCCCCCTCCCCCCCCCCCTCCCCCCTTCCTCCCCCTCCACTCCCCCCTTCCTCCCCCTCCCCTGCCTTTTGGAATACAGGCCGCGGGTTTGCTCAACTTGCTGCCGCCGGGAAAAACCAGGCATCGTCAAACTCCATCAGTCGGCGCGCACTGGGCGCGCGATCGTCTGCAAAGGCTTCGAGCCAATCCAGGACCATGCCGTTGATGCGTGCGAGGAGCTCGTCCTTCTGGGCTTTGCCCGCGGCTCCGAGCCATTGCATGGCCAAGGGTGCGATGAGGACAAAGTCGTGAAAGTCGTGATGCTCGCTGAGAGGCACCACCACGTCGCGCAGTGCCACGTTGCCGCGCTCCTCGCACGATGCGGCGGCAAAGGCCTCACGCCGCGCCTTGTTCTTGGCCTCGATGCACCGCGGCGCAGAGACCATTAGCAGTGGCTTCTCCGTCCCGCCCTCGCGCAGAGATTCGGAGAGCGGGAACAGCCACGGGTCGAGGGCAAAGCCGGAGACAAAGCGGTTGTCGCGGTTAAGGGCCTCTATCGCGGTCCCGCCGCCAAACGAGTGCCCCCCGACGTGAACAGAGTCGAGGTCGAGCCGGCCCTCAAACAGCCGCCACTCGCCGAGGCCCGAGCCCGGCGGCCCGGTACCGGCCGCGTGCAGGGCGGCGAGAGTGTCGACGATGGCCGACAGATCGGCGACGCGGATGTCGAGCTGGGCGTGGCGCAGCTCGTGCAACTCGTCCATGCTGGCCGCAAACTCACCGTGAGCGCGCACGTAGCCGTCGTACGCATGGCTCAGCAGCTGGCGCTCCAGCCCGGGCGCCGCGTTCCACGCCTGGTCGTAGAAGACGCCGGCTGCGTCGCCGGCGTGGTCGACGCCGACCACAACCCATCCGCGCGACGCAAGCTCGCAGGCCAAAGTCTCGTTCTGCACGCGCACGCCGCCGTAGCCGTGCGAGAAGACCAGGATCGGGGCGAGCGGAAGGCCATCGGCAAAGCGCAGGCTGCGGCAGGCGACGCGCTTGACACTCCCGAGATGGCGCATGACCCATCCAGGGAGTGAGAACCGTGCTGCAAGGGCAGCCCGCAGTCGGGCATCTGTCAGCCATCCAGCGAGATGCGGCGGAAGCGGCGGGTCCCGCTGGAATGGCGTCTCTTTCTCGCCCGGATACCACACCTCTGCCAGCAGCCGTCGACATCTCCCGTCCTCGCGCCAGCCGCTGGCGTTGGTCTCGAGGTAGGGCGGGCGATTCGGCTGGGCGACGACAAAGGTCGCCACGCCGACGCGATGCGGCCCGCCGGGCGCTGGGAGCTCGATGAGCGGCAGGAGCGTGCCGAGGAGGACGGCAGCAGGCAGAGCCAGCGCGGTGAGGGCGAACCAGAGCCAGCCGGAGACGACGACGGAGCCGACGTCGGCATCCAGCGCGGCCGGAGCAGCCAAGGCCAGTCCAGCCAGGGCCAGCGAGGCGTAGAGCGGAAGCATTTGCCAGCGGCGTGTGGTCGGCTCGCTGGCGACGAGCAGAATGGCCAACAGCGTCAGCGGGAGCAAGGCAATGGCGAGGGCCCTCAGCCCGTCCTCGGGCGCCAGCGCCCCGCAGCTGTCGACGACGGCCAGGACATACACACAGGTGACGCAGACCCACTCTTCGACCTCGAGTGCCGTCACGCGCGGTCGCCCCGTGGTAGGCATAGCCAGTAGCTGCGGTGGTGGTGGGCGGAGGAGAAGAGTGGCGGTCGCTGTCGCTGCCGTTGCCGCTGTCGCTGTCGCTGTCGCTGCCCGCTGCCGCTGCCGCTGCCGCTGCCGCTGCCGCTGCCGCTGTTCCTGTTTACCGCCGTCGTCTCTTTCGCTCAACGTAACCGCGGTAGGCAGAGACGGGACATGGCTCGTCGTCGGCATCGCCGTCGCCGTCGCCGTCACCGATCTGGAGCACGGTCTTGAGAGTGGTCATTGTTTGCAAGGACTGCGACGACGACGATGATGACGACGACGAGCCCATGAGCCTGCGGACCAAGGCTCCGGCCTCTGTCTGTGAGCCCGACACCGATCCCATGCACGAGTCGATCGACGAGCCCGACGACGACTGCGAGTACGGCCGGCACTCCTCGCCAGAGTACGAGTACGAGTACTCTTCGTACTCGTACTCGTAGACCGGCTCCGCATCGCTTCGGCGCGGAGTGGCCAGAGCGGTGCTCTCGGGGTGGAGCAGCTCATTCTTCTCCACCTGTTGCTTCCGCATCTCTGACACCGTCATCAACGGCGGCGAGTACGAGCGCCGCACCTGCGAGCGCTCGCGAAGCACGGGATGAGGCGGACGGACAGGCATGGCAGCCATTGCCGGCGCCGACGACACACCCGCCGCGCCGACCGGCGACTGTGGCGCCGACGGTGCCTCCGACAGCGAGACGGCGGGCGAGGTCGACTTAGCCTGGGCTGCCCGCGCGCTCTCCATCCGCTCCTGCATGCGGCGCAGCCGGCCCTCGATTGCGCCCTGAGCGCGGGCAAGACTTGCCTCACCGCCCTCTCCGCCGGACCCGGTCCCAGACCGAGTCCCGGCCGTCATAGATGTTGTCGCCGTCTCGCCGGTCGCCCCGGACAAGTCGACCGACGATCGCGACTTGGACGAGTGCGGCGTGGCGGCATCGGTTCCGCCGTCGCCGCCTCCGCCGTCGTCGGACCCGTCCGAGCAGCCGAACAAGTCGGCTTCTAGCGAGTCAAAAGCAATGGACGGGTCAAAAGTGGCAAAGACGCCGGCAGAGTTGGTCATCTCCAGCCCCTGTCCGGGCACCGGCTCGCCCGAGCTCCCAAGCGCATTGCCCGTGCTCGGCCCGCTGCTTGCACCCGAGTTGAGCCCCAGCGAGACGGTTGTTCCCTCGAGCTCCGCAATCGATCCGCTTCCTCTCATGCCATGAGAGAAGCCCGGTGGAGAGGCGACGCCGACGGCCGACACGCTCGCCCGGCCAGTGAGCGACGGATGGAAGCCCGATCTCAGCGAGGAGGCCGAGCCTACTGCGGTAGCCCCGCGCGGGGCTTGGCGACGCCGACGACCATGGCAGCCCTCGCGGCAAGACGCTCAGCACGAGCCTGATCTCGGCTCTGAGCAGCCGACGGGCGGCGAGCAGGACTGTAACCATGGGCGTGGCCATGCGAGCGGCTTGATGCGCGACTTGATCTCCGCGAAATACGATCGCGCGGAGCAATGGCAGGGAGGACAGGGCCCGATGCGGCGGCAGCGGACTCGCGTCTGCGGACAGGGAGCGGAGCGCGTGTGATGACCAGCGGTTGCAGCTGCTGTCGACGTCGTCGCCGGGAACGCTCCGCCAGCAGCCGCTCACCCCTTGCGGTTGCCTGGCCATTCAGCGGCTGCGTAGGCGCCCTTCCAGGAGAGTTGGACATGCCTGTCGTCGGTCCACCTTGCCCGCCGTGAGGGGCGGCGGTGGTGGGAGAGAGGTGGCGATGGCCGAGCGGTGGTGAGTGGTGGTGAGTGGTGGTGAGTGGTGGTGAGTGGTGGGTGGTGAGTGGTGGTGAGTGGTGAGTGGTGGGTGGTGAGTGGTGGTGAGTGGTGGTGAGTGGTGGGTGGTGAGTGGTGAGTGGTGGTGAGTGGTGGGTGGTGAGTGGTGAGTGGTGAGTGGCGGAGGGTGGTGGTGAGTCGTGGTTTTGGCTTTGTGGAGCCAAAAAGGGCTGCCGTTGCGGAAAAGGGCTGCCGTTGCGGAAAAGGCGCATTGGCAGCAACGGCTGACCACCTCACCGCACCACCAGCAGCAGCAGGGCAACGAGGACGAGCAAGAGGACGACGACCACTACGACGACCACTACGACGACCACTACCACCACTCCAACCACCACTACACCCACCACTCCCACCACTCCCACCACTCCCTCTACCCCGTGCCCACCTCGCCCGTCGCCATGCACCGTGCAGAGCCGTCGGCCAACCGCATCCTCACCAAGCGGTGGAATGCGAGGAACCACGCGCAGCACAAGAAGCGGCTGCGGTCTGTCCGGTCGCGTGTGGACAATGGGCCGCCGCGGCAGTACCTTCACCTCCACCTCAATCTGAAGAAGCTGCAGCAGGAGGAGGAGCGGATGTCGCAGATCGAGAAGGACAATCGCATTCTGCTGGGCAAGATGTCGGCCATTATGCGGCAGAAGAACACGCTCGACAACCGCAACGCCCGGTATAAGCGGGGCAAGCCGAGCCTCAACAGGCTCAAGCGGAAGAAGGAGCTGGCGAGGATCACCCGCGAGAACCAGCGCATCCTCTCCCGCATCCAGTCCATCCAGCCCACGTACAACCATGTGGCGTGGGAGCAGGATCGGCTCCGCCAGCAGCGCATGCTGGCCAACATCTGCGAGTATCCGTACTTGCCGCCTGACGCTGCCGCCGAGCCCTCGCTCACCCGCGCGCAGCTGGAGGAGATGGAGGCGCGCCGGAGGGCCGAGGAGGACGAGAAGGTCCGCATGCAGCTGCTCAAGCGGCCGAAAAAGGCGCCGACCTACCACCAGCCGCGCAACGCCGCCCACTACGACGACCGCCCTTACTCGCCCGATGCTGACGACTCGTATGGCTATCCCGAGGAGAGCGCTGGCCTCGCGGAAGTTGAGCCTGTGGCCCCGAGCCGGCCGACGGCGAGCGAGCCGGTCTCGCCGGCGGGCGCGGCGTCGTCGGCAGCCTCGTCGGCCATCCCGGCCGGTTCGGTAGCGCCGGTCAAGGTTCGGGTCTGCGTCGTCGAGGCTGCCGACCTTGCGTCGCACGACATCGATTCGGCCAACCCAGGTCAGACGTCGGACCCGTATGTGGCGGTCAAGGTCGGCAAGACCAAGCGCAAAACCCAGACGGTGCAGAACTCGGAGCGGCCAGTCTTTAACGAGGTGTTTGAGTTTGATGAGCTCGTCGGCGACGAGGCCATTGAGCTCAAGGTCATGGACGACGACACGTTTTCCGACGACACCATTGGCGTCGCCTCATTCGCCGTTGCTGCCTTTGACCTCAACGTCGAGCACGACATCTGGGTCAATGTTACCTCGGATGGCGCGACCACCGGCCAGCTGCGGCTCAAGCTCATGTTTGTCGCGCCTGGTGACGAGGCGTAACCCTCCCCCTCCCCCCCCTTAGATGAAACGCCATTATGCCTTTACCTATCCCAGACAGCAGCAGATACATATCATTGGCCCCGACCGACGCTCTGGCGCTGGGCGCGGTCGCGGGCAGAAACGAAGGAGGCGGACGAGGCGGACGAGGCGGACGAGGCGGACGAGGCGGACGAGGAGAGCGGCGAGGGCAAGGGCGAGGGCGAGGGCGAGGGCGAGAGTGATTCGCGCAGCCAGGCCCTGCGATTTGCAGAGACGAGGCGTGTTCTGCTCCCGAGCGAGGGAGACCTCGATCTTGACCTCGACCTCGATCTCGACCGCAACCTTGTTTGTGACGGCGAAGTTGAGCGCGATCTTGAGCGCGAGCGCAGCGAGGAGCTGTCAGTTGAGATCAAGTGAGAGACATGGTGGTGGTTGTGGTGGTGGTTGTCATGCTGGCGGTGGTGGCGGGCGTCGTCGTCGTCATCGTCGTTGTCGGTCGGGTGGGCATCAGAGCCATGGCCCGAGTCTGGCGAGATCGGCGGACGGAGGCCGAGGCCGGCTTCCAAGACGGCGATAGCCTTTTCTCTCAGGGCGACAGCGGTGCCTCTATCGACAACAATGGCGGTCAGAGCGGCAGCACGTCTCCGCAGCTCTGCCGTCTCTGCGGCCCGAGCCCTGTTTGCCGCCTCGAGCGCCTGCGCCTGCCGCAGCAGCACAGCCGCTGCTGCTACTGCTGTGGGGTCGTCCACAGCCATACGGTTGTGGGAGGGAGGGGGGTGGAGGGGAGTGGAGGGGCAGGGGGGGGAAAGGGGGGGGGGGGGTAAGAGGTACGTAGGTACGAA